AGGAAGAAGTATATTTAGGTCTAAAATTCACTCTGAAATGCATCAAAAAACAAGATGGATTGATGAATGAATGGATAGAGATACCTGATAAGTCAAGTATGGTACAGTGTTAACAGGAGATGCTAGGTGATGGGTATGCTGGTGTTTACTGTAAAATTCTTTCGACTTTACTGTATGCTTGAAAATTTTTATACTAAAATATGTGTGTAGCCTATTACTCATAAACGAAATGGTATGCAGAGTAAGAGTGTAAGAGCCATAAATAAGTGATGGGATGACTGTGCCATCACTGCATGCTATTCTGTGGCCATATGGTTCTCTAACTCACTACCCTTACTCTGATGGAATGCTCATCCAGCAACTATCTAACTATAATTTAGATATACATACAGATATGCCAACAGAAAGCAAATATGATTAGCAACACAAATGAACTTATTTCTCATTGCATAGTGACAAATTGACTTGATTTTTATACCAGTTCTCTTTGGAATTGGTTGACTAAGTCGGCTCCTGAGAGATTCTGGGAACAGTAGAGAAAATTGGGTTTTCAGCAGGACTAAGTGACTCTGCCAGGGAAGTAAATGGTCTTCCCTAAGCTATCTTGTCTCTAACTGCAGTACAATGTATTTATGTTTATAAACTAATAAAATTAAAGAATTAAGGATAATGATAACAAAAAAGCCTAACTGATTCCATTTATATGAAACTCTCAAAAAGCCATAGAAATCTAGAGACACAAAGCAGGCCAGTGGTTCCCTGGGACTGGAAAAGCAGGGCAGGATAGGAGTGGGAAGTTGATTAGAATAGAGCATCTGGAACTTTCTGGGGTGATGAATATGTTTTATATATTTTTATCGTGGTGGTGGTCACATAGTGACATACTCAGACATAAACTTGTCTAAGTTCATCAAAACGAACACTTAAAATGATTACCCTTTGTTTCTGTTAACTGTATCTCAAAAAAGTTGCTTTAAAAAATGGGATCATGAAGGAACATACTCTTTCAACACCCCCTGGCCACCCAAATCCCCTTCCTGTATGAGATTTTTTCCATGATCACTAATTTCGAGGAATTTATTTTATGAAGGACATGAGAATAAGTAATAAATAGAACGTCATGCAGATCTTCCTCTTAACTAGTTTATGCTAGTAATAAAAACGCTTCAATTTAAAAACATTTCAATCCACTGTACCCTGAAGGGTAAAAAAGGAAGCAGTTCTCAATCTAAGAGCATTTCTCTCACCCATTAATGAGGGATTCAGGTTGCAGCATGATACTGAGACTGCTAAGGGTGAGCAAGTACCCAACTGGCTTCAACGAAGCCGTCTGCTACTACTACCTTGAGCTTCAGTTAGCAAAACTGCAATACAATGTGACATTTGTCTTTCCTCCAGTGCTTTTCTGTCCAAGATTTGAACAAAATTAAGTCAGCCCGATTTACTCAGTCTAGTTCTCGATCCTAACACAGTTCTGGATGTTTCTTCCTCAAAGAGCAAGTGTGTGTATATTCTGGCTAGCATGAAAATCCTCTTCCTCCCCACTTCAAGGTGCAGAACCCTAAACATAGCTAACTACCAGGAACCTATTCTATGTGTCCCTACACACATTTTAAAGCTAAAACTTCCAAAAACTCAACCATAAGCATGTGAAAAGCCCTTCAAAATTACTATATTTAACAATTACTACCAGATAAAAACTGTAACATACCTTCAAATTTTTTTGACCACAAATCACTGCACACATAACATAGAAAAAAAGTAACTGAAACAAAATTTCCATGAATGCTTCACTTTATGTAACATAAGATGCACATTGTTATTTCCTATTGTATCATAAAAAATTAGCATTACCCACTAAACTGATTTCACAACTCAACAAATGGGTCCTGATCTGTGTTTGATAAGACCAGAGAACAAAGGACTGTCCAGCTTCCCTACTGTCTTGAGGGATTTCCAGATTGGAGTTCCTAATTTGCTCCCTGTCTCCACTAATGAGGCATCATTTGCCAGTCACCATCCTGAAGGTTTTAGAAATAAAAAGAAAACTCTGACGAAGATCCTAACTTCAAAGAGTCTTTACGTTTGGTAAAGAAGAAAAAAGCTATACTGGAACCCTAAGAGAGAAACAAGGTAAAACAGTAATAGGGAAAACAGACATTTCTTCTCCCTGGGGATAGTTAAGTCAAGGAAGGCTTTAGGAAAATGTGGCACCTGACATGGTCCAAAGTGTGAGAAGGATTTATATATGGGATGATGTGGGAGGGGGTGGAGTACTCTACATGAAGAGACAGCATAAAAACAAGGACAGAGAAATTTCAGGATATAAACAGCAGATTAAAAGGTCCCATGTCAAGAGAAAGCTAGAGGCCAGAATACTATCTCTTTAAATTCTAGGCAAAGAAGTTCTTCTGCAGACAGGTGGAGGCTCTAGAGATGTCTAGCACAACAGCAACCAGACTATAATTTGTAACTGCCTTTCAGAAAAAAGTCTAGTGAAAAATGCTGCTGGTTTTAAAGAGACTAGATATACCCATTTTTATATACCAAGGTTAAAAAAATATTCAGAAAACAAATATAAATGTTCTAAAAAATACTTTAGACATGCTATCCCATCTATTAATGTGGATAATGTGATAATCAAAATGACTTTAACATGATTTAAACAATGAGAAACGCATTCTAAAAAGTGAAAACAAACAAAAATGTCTCCAAAGTTTTAGTAGTGGAGAATTTTATGACCTTTAATGTGATCATAAAAATTGGCACCATATACTTAAGACCTACTGTACTTGCCAAGACTGCAGTAGATGCTTCACGTGAATAAAAACTTCTAAAGTCCTAAGAGAAAAATCTTCCTTTCCTCCCCCAAAGTCAGCCGCTGTTGTAGAGCAGACGCCCACAGGTCAGAAACTTGTTTTTCGGACCCTAGAAAAAATACACTCCGGGATTTCTTCCATCTGAACCTCCAAAAAATAACTATTTCCAAAAATTCCTTATCAGGATATACAAGTGCTTTTATCACCTGGGCTTTCCAGCCTAAATTCTCACCAGTACTGCCCAGTGCCTTCACCCACCTTTCCCCTCAAACACAGCACAATTTGGTGCCTCTGCACATGCTCTTCTATTCTTTCTTGTTGGAAAAAATCCTATTGTCCTTCAAGGCCGATGAAAAGTGTGGCAACATCGAGTCTTCCACCGAGGCTGTTAGTAGCTCACCCACCAGTACTTCACAGAACTGAACTTGGCCTCCTCATAGCACTAACCTTTAAGTATTAATTAGTTGTTCACTTGTTAATCTCCACCACACAGTAAGATTCTTATTGACCTCTACCTACTTTCTCCCCAGCATATAGACTGATGCTTGGTACATACTAACTGCTAGAGACCTGGTTGTCAATGAAGATTTCCTCTCACCCTAACAAAACCCCACAACACTGTTAAGTTTCTATAAATATCTGAGTAGAAAACGTTAACATAGAATTAGAAAATATGCAAAAAAAAAATAAATCGAGATGACTGTGGACTGAACTAATGAGTCAAGCCTGGCACATGCAAAGTGACACAGAAAAGCTAAAGAAAAAAAAAATTCTACATTCCCGAAGAAGGAAGAGTTCGCAAGATGAGCAATAGAGAAAACTAATAATATGAGAAACAAGTTGTGCAGCCTCCGAGAAAAGTAATGCGCAGGGCTGGCAATCTTATAAAAGTGAGGTTCCAGGCACCGAATGGACTGGCCCGGCTGCACAGCCAGGACAAGAAAGGGAGACCGCTTGGTCGGACTCCAAGACCGAGGTGTGCGGTTCTGCCCGGGAGAGCGGGGCGGGGAGAAAAGGAAATGACGAGCCAAAAGGGGGTGGTAACGGCGCGGGACCGGAGACCCGGGCCGAGCGTGCTGAGAGGAGGGGCGCGGCGGGGCAGGGGAGTGGGCGCACTAACGGACCCCCTCCCCCGATCCGGGAGACGGCGGGGGCGGGCCCGCAGAGCGCAGAGGCGGGGGCGGGCAGGCTTCCTCTCCCCGCCGCGCCCCGGGCCCCGTGGCCGCGGCGCGTACCTTCCCCAGCGCTCACTTGTGACCCAGGGGGGACTACAGACAGGCAGAGCCGGCTCTCGGAGGGCTGGGGATCGCGGGCCCCGCGGGAGACTTCCCGTCCGGAGGGCCGCAGCACGCAAAGGTCAGGGGCGGGCTTCAGTTTGAGGCCCGAACGATCTGGAGAAGACCGCCAAAGCCCCGGGCGTGCGTGGACCTGAGTGTAAGAGCATTCGTGGCAAGCAGGCCACAAACCCCGAGCCTGGGGCCTGACAAACTGGGCCTAAGGATCGGGAGAAGAGGGATGCATCCCCAACTGGCACAGGCACCCTGCAAGAGTCTGGACCCCGGGTGCTCGCTCCCGAGGGCGCCATCCCCGCGCGGGGCGGCCCCCTGCAGGCCCCGGCAGGGAATGGCCCGGGACACTAACGGCCCCGGGCCAGGGCCGCCAGCCGCCCGGCTCGGCTAGGCTCAGCTAGACTCTCGGGGCTCGACGGGCGCCTGGGCCTCTCCTGAGTGGTCAGCGAGACCCGCCAATCGGGGCGCTGGGGCCGGCTCTGGGCCGCTGGATATTGGCTCCTCACACTCACCGTGCCTCGCTCCCCCGGTTCGCTGCCCGCGCTGATTGGCTCCAGTACCGGACCCCGAAACCCAATCAGAGGCTCCAGCCGCCGCTGCCGCCGCCACTGCCGCTGCCTCGCAAAATGGCGAACCCGAACAAAGGGGAATGGGGCCTCCCTCCAACCGCCTCCGCGCAGGCGCCTCTGAGACCACGCCCCCTAACCCCAGCATCGGGCTCGCCCCACCCCCAGTTGAAGGAGCATCGCGCAGGCGTGCCCTGAAGCCACGCCCACTTCTCTGATTTGACACCATCTCTGGCTGAAGGAATACGCAGGCGCCTTCTAGACGCGCCAGATCCTTGAACTCAAACACCGCCCTAAACATAGTACTACGCAGGCGCTAACTCTCTCCTTTGTCAACTGCCCACCCCTTTCCCTGAGGTCACTAGAGACACACCCCCGGGGCTAATGCGCAGGCGCCGTTCTTCCCCACTCGCGGTGGGCTGTCTCGTTACGCATGCCCGGACGGCAGCGGGACATTCCACGGATTTTACCGCCGGAAGTTCGGCGGCCATTACCAAAGAGTGGGAGTTTGGCTGACTAGCTAGAGGGGCTTGTTTCCGCCCGCTCCTGGGTGGTGGGCGGCCATTTTAGGTGCGTGCAATTAAGGGCTGTGGAGGGATTGGCTCCGCGTCTAGGTTCGTCCGCTGCTTCCCACCTACCAGGGCCGGATCCGGAGCCCTTCCCCGCGGGGCGGGATCTGGCAGCGGCCGACTCCTCTCCAGGTGAACGGTAACCCCGGTACGTTGAGGTTTTGAGCCAGTCTTCCCGCTCCTTCCCACGGGACCCCAGGACAGGCCGTACGCCCTCGCTGACCCGCCCGTAGGGTAGGACACAGAATGGGAGGCCTCTCTAGACTCCTTCTCCTGTCCCCCGAAGAGCAGGTGTGGGTGAGCCTTCCTTGAGAGGCCGCCTTCCCACTCCCCTGGTCCGGACACTCCTCGGTTGCGGCTCGAGGGACTGTAGCCAAGTCCCTCCCTTTTTCTTGTGGGCCAAACCCACTGGGGAAATACTTTTGGTCAAGCCGAGGAGAGGAGACTGTCCTCAACCCGCTTGCTCGGGCGCGGAGAAAGGAGGAGGCGCCTCCTAGAGACCGCCTTTTCTTCCCCTAGCTGAGCGGGGCGATCCAGGAGCGCGAAATGCGGGTGGGGGCCGACCGCCGCGACCTAGCCATTCTTCCTCAGCCTTGCCCCAGTAGAGTTTTGTATTCCTAGAGGCTTAACGAGCTCACGTTCAGCGATAAATGGTGGGGGAAGAAATTGCCAAGTGGGTGGTCAGGGCAGTTTGAATATAATACATTCAGACCGCCTAAGCATTTTTACTTCCTTTTCCCTTCTCATAGCTGAAGAAACACTTAAGTTCTGGAAATAGCGACTCAGTATCATGGCCGGCAGCCCCAATGAAGATTCAGAAGGAAGCAGAGTGCGTAACAACTATTAACTTATTGGTGAACTGAAATTAAGAATAATTGAGGTCAAAAGCATAAACACTTTTTAATTAAAGCAATAATTGAATTGTCTTTTTTTTCCCCCCTCTCCAGCTGATTTACTTCAGAAAGGCTGATACAGTCCTAGGCAGAAACCATCCATCACTCTCCTTGTACACATGCTTTAATTTGTTGTAGTTCCTTAAGTTCTGCAGATCAGGTTTTAAATCGAGGGGCAGTGGTGGGGGGCTCAGTAAAGGGAAATGAAAGAAACAGCTTAGTGTTTTTCTGTATCAAATAAAACCTTTTCTTTCCCTTTTCACATTTTAGATCACTTATGTGAAAGGAGACCTTTTTGCATGCCCCAGAACAGACTCTTTAGCCCACTGTATCAGTGAGGATTGTCGAATGGGTGCTGGGATAGCTGTCCTCTTCAAGAAGAAATTTGGAGGGGTGCAGGAACTGTTAAATCAACGTGAGTTTTGAAAAACAGCTGAATTAGCCTGACTTGTCTAGAGCATCTTGACCTCCTGTTATATTGTAATTGTTAGACAAGGATATACATGCAGAAAGCAGGGTTCCTAACCACTGAGTACTTAATAACTCTTCAGATTAAGGTTTTTCTCTACAAAAGTACCCTTTAGTTTGGGTCTTTATCACACCAAACTTGAATTCTTGTAAAGGTTTCTAATCTCTTCCTCTGTCTTAAAACTTTCTGATATTACTCTTAACTTTTCTGAAACCTTTGATAACTGAAGTGCTTCACTTCAGTTCCACAGGTAATAACTCAGCATTCAGGATCCTCTGTTTACCCATATTGTACTTACTCTTCAAAGAGGAGTTTAGAAACCTCTTCCTTACCTTTCTTATCACTTTATACCAGAGATTTTGAACCAGAGATGTTTTAGAACCACCTGTAGAGCTTCTGTAACAGTTGCTTAGATCATAGTCCAGGCTTATTGGGCCAGTCTCCCCTGCTTTAAAACAATTTCTTAACTGTTTTTTATTGTAGTTTTTGTAAACATGACACTGTCTCTTCATTGAAAACTCTTTGGTCATTAGAAACTTTTACATATCTATGTTCTCCACAATGCTTAGCACAATAAATAACCCTTTGTAAAAAAAAAATCACTGAAGTTTTTAAAGTGAGTATGGGTGTATTTGAAAATATGATCAGGAGAAAAGATGGGGTAAGAGGAAAACAAAAAATTAATAAAGCTGGAAGTTAAGGAATGCTGATAAGGTGGAAAGTGTTAGAGTGTTTCTTCAGAATTGAAAATTATTTTTAGCTCTGAAGTGAACTCAGATCTGTAAGGATTTTTTTTCAAATTGAAGAATGCAAATCGGTGCTTTGTTTTTGTTTTTGTTTTTTTAACCTTTCTACTATTAAATGACTTTTTCTTAGAAAAGAAATCTGGAGAAGTGGCTGTTCTGAAGAGAGATGGGCGATACATATATTATTTGGTAAGATGGGGGTCAAGTCTGTCAATTTCTCACTAGGTCATAAGGACTGGTGAACACATGGGCTGTACTGCATTTGTCGATCATGCTTCTAGACAACCAAAGATGACAAAAAGCTTCTGATCTCATGCTCACTTAGATCAAGTGGTGGTGGCTCTATGGAGCACTGGGTTAGAAAGAAACATGAGGCTGCATCCCAGCTCCACCGTGAAGATAACTGTGACAGCCACCAACAGCCTCTGTTCTGAGAGTTGGAAAAGTTAGGGATGTCCCACATACTTCAGTTCTTTTCTAATTAGAGTGTGATAGAAATAGTAGTTTCTCAAAAGACAGATTGCCCAAAGGAGTTTTTCTCTCATTCTTCCCTGTTGAATGCAGTGCCTAGTATTACTTAACTCCTTTCCTGCCTTTTACCTCAATGTGGGATTCTTTCACTGTCCAAATGGTCTTCAGGCCCCAGAAGGAGTGTAGCTTCTTGGTGATGGTGCTAGGTCACTTAGAGCAACCAACCCACTACACATCTGATTTGGACAGCACACTGAGTGGGGACATGTCTTAAGGCCTTTGGATGCTCTCCTTAAGGCCAATGTGGCTTCTGGTCTTGTTTGGAACACTACCAATTTCTCTTCGTTCTATACAGAAACAAAAAGCAAATAAGCGTGGTTTCTAAATAGACTTAACAGGAAGTTTTCAGGTGGTATGTGTTCTTCCTTGTTGCAGATATATTGCTTATCTCTTGGAAGTGGCACAAAGACTTCGACCTACCTTGCTTAAAAACAATGGACAATAGGCACCGCCTGCTAATACGGGCTTCTTGGGAAAAGGAAAGGTTATCACATGGCAGTGTCTGCGTTTCTCAGGCCCTTTTTAGTAGATTTTCCTGAGGGCCTCCCATAACTGGAAAAGACAGTATGACATTTGTCATTCTGCTCTGAACTCTTCTATAGAAATACACTTATTTTAATTATCAGGATGTTGGGAGAATGTGATGTCTCTCTTTGGCTGTCATTTTGGACTAATGGAACTTTGAATTCATTCTTTGTACTCAGATTACAAAGAAAAGGGCTTCACATAAGCCAACTTATGAAAACTTACAGAAGAGTTTAGAGGCCATGAAGTCCCACTGTCTGAAGAATGGAGTCACCGATCTCTCCATGCCCAGGCAAGGAAATCCAGGGCTCTGAATAAAGACTTGTAATTGAGTGGCGGGATTTGCTGTCTGACTTGAAAGCTTAACTCAAAATATAGGCTTAAAAGTGGACAAATTTAAAAACTTCTAAAAATCACCAGTGAACCAGTAATCAGACTTTAGGCCACATTATACCCATTTCTTAGCCTGGGTTGAATGAATCAGGATAATTAAAACACACCTGCTTCAGCCTACTTTGTGGGAGGACCTGTTGGTCGGTCATCTTTGTTGAATTCTGGGCATCTTCTGCCTGAGGCTGAGGCTCTGTTCTTGAAGCAATAAAGCCTAAGAACCAAGACTGAGCAATTGTGATATTCTTCTGGGCCATTTCACATGTCCCAAGCTTGTTAATCTGGGGCAAAGAGGGTTGTAAATTATCACTGCCTTAAACTGCATGCTTGTTGTGGTCAGTGTGGTAGTAGCCAGAGGATAGGTCCCTTATGTAATGTCTTAGACCCCCGCTATTGGGAGCTTAAGGGAATGGCGTTGGGGGTTCAATATCCTCTTTACTTTCTTTTTACGGAATAGGCTCTTGGGGTCATTTCTCTTCCTGTCAGTCTAATTTTGAGTCTGTGCTGACCATGCATGCAGGTTTGTTCTAAGCCCCAAGTTACTTACGAATGTGGCTACAAAATCCCTCATTTACCCTGGGTTGTAATGTATTCATGTCTTCTGTATCAGAAACTGTGTGTGTTTTTATCACAGTTTTTTTACAGACTTAATTATCAGACTATGTGAAATTAGCCATTTTAAGTCTTTCCCCCTTAGGGATATTGAGGATCAATAAAGTAACATCTTAGAAGAAAGGTGCCAGGTAGGAGAGTTTTGTGGGCAGACTCAGGTTTCTCACCAGGGTGTTGCGAAGACCTGATTTCGTTTTTGCCAAGATCGTGTCCTTTGTCCCTCTTTTTATCTTCCTTAGCATTTCATTATCATAAGTGTGTTTTTAAAATCCCAGCTAGTTTTTATCAATATATAAAGAAGGATAGTGAGTCTCCTATGTCACCACAGTCACCCATTTTCTCAAGGTAGCCTCAAACAACTGAGAAGTGGCATCTTATTAGCAAAAGAGAAGTGACAGCTGTTGGACGTTGGGGCCATCTAGGAACAGATTAGGTGACTCACAATAGGAATTCACTTCCAAACTCCCACCATGGGTGTAAGACCAGATCATTTGTCTTTATGCTTTGGGTGGGTGCAGCCTAAAGGAAGAGGGAAGAAATGATTTCCTAGGTACCTTCATCACAACCTGTGGAGCTGTTTTGTCTTTTTCAGGATTGGATGTGGTCTTGATCGTCTGCAGTGGGAAAATGTATCTGCATTGATTGAAGAGGTCTTTGAAGCCACAGACATCAGAATTACTGTGTACACACTGTGAACAGACACGTGCTGTGGATGTGTCCACGTTCTCCTGTGTGATCCCTACTGGACCGTAGCACTGGACGAACTGACCTGAAAACGGTCTGAAGAAAGATTCATGTGAAGTAGTCTGTGTCACAGGCCAGACTTGGGTTGCTGTATTCTCATGATGGGACTGGAACTCTGGAGGAGGGATTGCTTGGGAAATGTTGCTGTGATTTTTTTTTTTTCCTTCAGGAAGGTAAGGAGTAGAATGCCTCATATTAGGCAAGGAAATCAGATGTTGGGCCTCTGACCTGTTTTGATCCAGGATACGACCTGACTTGTTTGGCTTGCCACTAGGTGGCAGCACTGACAATTACTTCTCTGTTGTTTTAAGAAAAGTTTCAGGAAGGATGAACATTTCAATTAGTTTTGCGTCTTTGTCATTTGTGAGCTTGCTTGGTATTATCCTTATGTCATTCTAGGAGAGAATTATGGGTTTTGTTAAAGTTACAAAAATGAGTCTTAGGTTGTTAACAAGAAATTTGTGGTGACGGAAAAGGACAAATAGACATCTTTTTCTTGGGGGTCCAATGAGGTTCTGTGCACACGGCTGTTGTTCTGGACCTGGGTAATGGAGGATTTACCTGTAACTAATTGGGAAGAATCAGACAAAGGTCCAGTGGGAAGAGCAGCAGGGTGAGAAGAAATAAGAATGGACAAGAAACTGTGGGTCAGCATTACTAGAAAGGCAGATGTTTAGAATCTCCTCAGGGTGAACTCTTGCTCTCTTCCATCTACCACATAGCTTCTGCGATTGAACGGGTCTGAATTCAGTCATGGAACAAATAATGTATATGAAATGTCTGCTAAATTCCTTAGGGCAGAGTAATGACTCAACAAATCAGTGGTTCTCAACAAAATCCTTCCTTAATGAATCTTTTAAGAAAAAGGCCCACTTCCTTCAAAAATTCTAGTTTGGCAGTTTGGGGTGGGGTGGGGGAAATGGCTAGGTTTCTTTGTTTCATTAAGCTGTAGAGGATTGTGATCATGCAGCCAGCTGGGATGAAAAACCGTACATTTTAGTCCCTTTTTCTTCTTTAGCTAAGAGGGCAGCACTTTATCCACTCCAGTGTTTACAGTGAGAGAATAGGTTCCTGGATTCAGTATCAAAGGTACTGGGAAAACTAGTGGAATTCTTTTTTACCATTACTGTGGTAGTAAGAGTTAAGATAGGGTTGCCTGGCTAGCTCAGTCAATAGAGCATGTGACTCTTAAGGTTGGGAATGTGAGTTCAAGCCCCACATTAGAGGTGGAGCCTACTTAAAAAAATAAAAAGTTAAACTAGCCTAAACTATTGATTTTCTCGCTAGAGTGAATTCTGGGTCTGTTGTAGGACTTGCTGCATTCCCAAGTGTGAAAAGAACTGGGTTTCAGAAGGGGCTTGTTGAAACACTAGGAAAACGCCGGTTAAATATAATCTTTGTACTTTAGACTTGTGTTCTTATCACACAAGTAGTGTGATAGGAGGCAGCAGTTTCAAAAACTATTTCACTTCTTTTGTGTCTCTGGAACAGACAAGTTCATGTCGTTGGGGTAGGAGTAGTGCAGGGCCAAGTTCATTGTTGAACTCAGACTGAGGCTTTTGAAGCTTTGCTTTTGTCCACATACAGTAAAACTGAAGGGGAAAAGAGAATGAATACACAATACAGAAAATGAGAGTGGGATGATGGTAAGAGGAAACTTAGAATCAAAGTATTTTGCTTAACTATGCAAATAAATCTTTGCTCTTGGCTCAAAACATTGGCTTTTGTAGGATTTAAAGGGATTAGGGTTAATTTTTTTCGTGGAGTATGAGCCTTGAAGATTCTTTGAACAAAGACTAGTCTCGGGGAGGACTGGCTGTAAGTGGAATTCTGGGACTCAGTGGGGATATGATAAAGTGCTTTGTCATTTGCAGATAGTCTTAGGGTCAAAATCTGATGACTTATCACACTTGAAGCTTGGGAAGAGGAGGCATGGCCTGATAGAATGAGCACATTATACCTGGAAACCTAGTTAGAGTTTGGCAAACACCCAGAAATTCGTACATGAAGTTTTGCTTCTACATAGGACTCAAGCCTTGGAAGAAAGGAGACTGGACACCATCCTGCTGTCACCTTTAAGTACCACATATCAACTAATCTTAGAGGGGGTGTGTCTCAACATTGAAATCCTACTTATCATCTCCTTAATCAAGTGGCTAATTGCTTATTAAGTAGCAATGGGAACATGGATATCTTATAAACAGATTTCCCCTGCCCTTCGTTTCACCCTCTGCCAGATTCCTTGTCTTCAGAGAAGGGAAAAGGCACTCATTTACAAGTAATCTCAAAAAATATTTGATAAAGGTCAAGATGGGTGGGAAGTCGGCCTGGGAGAGTTAGTATCCTGTGTTGCCTAGACAAGCCCTGGGTGAAGCCTCCCTTCCACTTTCTCATGTCATGGCTTGGCTCATAGCCTGGGAACATCCCTATTCCTAGGACTTGTTCACTGTTCATAGTAACTTCTAAATGCCCAAGTTCCTTAAAAAACCTCACAGAAAAACCACACCACTTCTTTTATTAATGTTGCTATTTTTCTTTAAAAAATCCAACTTCACATAAAATGCATTTCTGGACATATTTCAAAGATCTGCACAGACCTTGGGTCTGAGGTTCTTTGCCTTAAGCAGCCCATTGGAATAATTAGGCCCTTCTGCCCCACAGATGCCTGATGCCCATATATAGTCGCCATTTCTTTCTTTGTAACTCACTTTCCTCTTTCCCAAGAGCAGCCTTAGGGAGAGCCGAGGCTTAAATGATTTACAGCATGAGCAGTATATTTAGAGTCCTTGGAGGACCTGTGCACTAGGATTGGTTGATGTCCAGTGTTGTCCAGCTCAAGTGGTATTAGGAAGTTGGGCATGTCCCAGATGGCCATACATGTCACTGCTGTCTCCTGGTGGCAGCAGGCAGACCTTAGTGAGAAAACAGAAAGCACGTTACTGAGAGTTTGCTGGCCCCAAACAATGAAGAGTTTTCTTTTCAGCTAGGGTTTCTGTGTACCCTCCAAGCAAGTTTGAATTTCTCCCCCATAGTCTCCTGTGATTTCCACTTTACCGAGCGTTAGGTGTGTTGTGTTCATGTTTTGGTGTGGTTCACACAGGGAAAACCCCAGAAGATACCTCCTTGAGTTAAATATATGGTTAAATCCTATTCTGTCATTTTTTTAAAAAAAAAGATGGAATAAGAAATATAAAGCAAATTTTCTTTAACAAATGCCCATTTCTTAGTATTTTAATTAAGCAGAGTTGTTCTTTTGGGCTTTTAGATTACAACTTGATTTCATGCCAATTTTTTTTTTTGGTACATTTTAACCTTTCCCTTCAGGAACATGAATAACTCGGAGTACAGGGAAGCATGTTAATGTGTCCAGATAATACGGTTATGTACACTAATGGAAGGAGGCTTATAGTGTGGAACATGTCCAATAATACTTTATTTTTTAAAATAATTTGACTTGGAAGTGGACTTTTCCCTCAAACTGATTAATCTGTTTTACTTCCATTTAGATTAGCATAAAATACAACCCTCTATTATCTAAAATTAAAAGCTCCTTTTAATCATCTTTGAAGTGCTTAATTTTTATAGCAGATTTAGCTATCTAATTATTCGACTTAATGGAAAAACAACAGTACACACATACAAACACATATCTCTGAGGACTTGCTGGCTAGGCAGCTGGAAGAAGTGGCCCGTGGCTCTGAAAGGTGTTTAAGAAGAAACTATACTATAGTTAAGATTAAGCTACCAGTCATCATTCTGGAGACTCTATGTAGGGTTTATAATGATGGTGATAACACCTACACTAATAAAATCTTCAAGGAATTTAAAAGTTAATTTTGTATTTTCAGAGGTCACCCTTAAAAATCTGTTTTTACCACTCCTCACCACCAGAGGAGTGGTAAAAAAGTGGTACTTTATGTGAGCAGAGTACAGCGTGGCATTACCTGACCATCTTCCCACTGAATTCAATGAATAAGCACTGCTTTTTGTAAGAAATGGCTGAAAATCGTGTCTTCTTGGATTGGTAAATGTTTAGCTGAAGAATTATCAGGCACCCTGTGTGCATGCCTAATAGCAGACACCTGCCAACATCAAGCTCCAGAACATTGATATTTCTGAAAACGTGTCAGTGAAGCCACCTCTTCTCTTTAGGATATTAAAGAGTGAGAGAAATAAACTGAATAGCTTCATGGAAGCATGCTGCTTTATGTTTTATTAATATGTGAATTGTTCCAGAATTGAAGTTGGAGAAGAGGGTGGTAAAGACCCTTTCTCCATTTCTGGAGTCAGGCCTCATGAAGGGGCTTGTTTGTAGCATTTCTGTGGGAACAAACTAGATCAGACCAGACTCAAAAAAAGTTAGTGAAGGATTTTTTACCCTCTTTCCTGAGGGTAATCGGCCTGTTTCTGTGAGAGTCTACCCTCAGCAAGAAGCCAAAATGGCCTTAATTGTGTCCTAATTATTTGCTTAAATAGCTAATCTTCCAGTTCTCCACATCTTGATATCTGTAGGAGGCTACTTCTCAGCTGCTGTCTAATTTACAAACACCTTTTTAACCTTTTCAACATTCTTGCATAAAAGAACATGTTGCTGTGATATCCCCATTCCTGAATTCAGCATTTTTCTATCTGTTCTGCTGAGGTCTTCTCAAAGTAAGAAAAATGTTCTTGCGTTATACATTCACAAATTATTGGCGTCCTTCAGAGCGGAACCATTTGTTTGAAAACATGAAAGCGTCTCTGGCAATAAATAAGTTGAATACAAATCCATCTGGGGACTTTAAAAAGTACCAAAAATGAAAAAAATAAAATTGTCCTTGAAGGAACAAAAAACCTCCATTACAGGGCACTGTTAGAGTAAGACTGCAAATGGGGGTGGGGGTGAGAGGAGGGTGTCCAGAAGGTGTCCAGAGTTAGGAAGTCTGGACTCCTGTCCATGGGGGCATGCTTAGGGGAGTGAGGTCTCCTCTCTGCTGTTTAGTCACAGGTCCTCGCACCATCCAGATCTGACCAGGGCAAATCATTCTGTCTCACCAGAGCTTTCGGATTCCTGTCAACCTTGAGTATTACAAGGTATGGGAAAAGTTCGTTTGATACAAAAGGGTAGAAGCGGGAAGGGTTTAGGGAGTGGAATTGAGAGGAAAGAGAAAAGGAAATGGGATCTCCTAAAATGTTCTTACAGCCAACCAAAAGAGAAATGCAATTCATCGGGGTGGGGAGGGGGGCAAACCAAACTTACCACCCATTCCACCGGCCCTCCAGCCTTCTACCCAAGGGAAGGGCTAGGGACACAGCATGGGGCCATGACTCACGTGAGGCTAGGCCCAGTGGCCTACTTCAGGATGTCCGCCAACTTCTCCTCGTAGTACAGGAAGTTCTCCTGAATGTCCTCCCAGGGCTCAAAGGCCTTGGATTGGCCCTCTTCTTGCTCCACAAAATTCTGCCAGACGTACTCGAAGTCCTGGGGCTTCATGATGCGCAGCCGGCAGCCAGCCTCCTTCAGCTTCCTCAGGGCGGCCTGCACGTCGGGCTCCTCCCACATGAAGAGGCGCCCCACCAGGATGAGCAGGCGCAGGTTCTTGGTCTTGCCGAGGGTGCGGATGATGCGGTCCGCGCAGGCCGCACAGGGGCTGGACGACACGTACCAGGTGACGTTGTAGCGCAGGGCCGGGTCGAAGGCGGGCAGGATGGTGTTGAAGAAGGCCTCCTCGGCGTGGGCGGCGGCGTGCTCGTCCTCCAGGTACCCCCGGGTGGCCTGCACCTGGCCTCCCTTACCCTGCGCTTCAACCACGTAGCACAGGAAGGTCTTGTTACGCCCGGAGCTGTACTCCACATTCCGGAACTGGAACTTAAAGAAGTTGACGGGCAGCCGCTCCCTGTGGGCCGAGGGGGCAGGGGGACGGGGGAAGAGTGAGGGATGAGCGCGCCTGTTCCTCGGACCAGCCCGGAGCAGGCGGCTCTCCAAACTCGGTACTTCGGAGCCACGTTGGCTCTTCCTATCAGAGCAGGCCTTGCCTAGGCTAACATCAGGGACAAAAAAAAGGACAGAATCCAGAAGGGTTTATCTGGAGGAGAGGAGAGAATTTGGAGGTGGCGCCTTCCGGTCACCCCAATAGGGAGGGTCTCCAAACACTCCACCATCCCTCCCACACACAGAACACTCCTACATTTCTGAATCAGTCACTGCTTCACCTGGCCACACGTCAGAACCACCCAGAGGACTCTACGCACGTCAGTGCATGGGCCCCACCCCAAATCAATGAAATCAGAACGGCTGGAGGGGGCCCAGGCACCAGCATTTTTTAAAAAAACTTGCCAGATGATTCTAATAGGCGGCCAGTTTGGAAAAGCGGTGTTCCAATAGTAATCTCACAAAGTAGCAAGCATATAAAATTTCTCCTGATAGAGCAAGATGAAGATTTTGCAGAACATTTACCGCTTCCGTTTGTCTTCCCTGCCACTGATGGCTAGTGTATCTCAGGCATGGCGTGGCCCACCACTCAGTGCCGCGCTCTCCTAGTAACTAACTGCTTCTCAAGCCTGGCTTTTCCCGCAGCTTAAAGAGTTGTCACAGGATAAACGTCCAAGAATTTTTTATCTTTGAGGTCAGACTACCCGAAAGTACCTTGATATGATATAGCTTGTATAGTAGTATTGAGTCATTTCAAAATCATAAAAGACTTGGCGTCTGCCCTCCAGACGCTTCTAATCTAGCAGCTCGACTCTAGCTAAGAGCATTCGAAAACCGCTAATTTAAAATGCGTAGGGAGCATGGAGGACATGGGACAAAGGTTCTCAAATGTTTTAGCCTTGATTCAGGAGGCAACAGAGAATTGTTACAGGCCCTTGAATAAAGAAAGTTGTAATAAAAGTGACATCCATGGGAGATGACATGGTGGCTTTAGGCAGTTAGAGCAAGGCTGGGGAAAAGCCTGAACTAAAGCAAGCCCATTTGGTATTTTAGGAGGCCAGATTTGGTGATGACTATGTCCAGTGGCTTTGAGGGTGGGATGGATGATTAGGAAATGAAACCAGCAGAAAAAGGCCAGGTTTGGGAGGAAGTTAGTAGTAAGAAGGAGGAGAGAACAAGGTTTCAAAAGGGGATAGAGAGGGCAACAGAGTTGACTGTTTTTATCTTTATGTGTGTCCGCATCTCTTTCTAAAATAGGGAAGCCTTTTGCAGGTTAGGAGGCCAAGGAGAACGAGGAGGCTTTCACAGGAGAGATTGAAAATGTCACAGGAGAGGAAGGGATTGAGTACCAGCTTAGGGAGGCTGAATGTTTTCTTTTCTTTTTTTTTTTAAGATTTTATTTATTTCCTTGTCAGAGAGAGAGCACAAGCAGGGGGAGCGGCAGGCAGAGGGAGAGGGAGAACCAGGCTCCCTGCAGGGAGCCCGAAGTTGGGGGGGGGGGCTCCATTCCAGGACCCTGGGATCATGACCTGAGCCAAAGGCAGACGCCTAACTAACTGAGCCACCCAGGCATCCCTGAATGTGAATGTTTTCTTTTTTAAAAAATGTAGTCTCGGGCGCCTGGGTGGCTCAGTTGGTTGGGCGACTGCCTTCGGCTCAGGTCATGATCCTGGAGTCCCGGGATCGAGTCCCACATCGGGCTCCCTGCTCAGCAGGGAGTCTGCTTCTCCCTCTGACCCTCTTCCCTCTCGTGCTCTCTGTCTCTCATTCTCTCTCTCTCAAATAAATAAATAAAATCTTTAAAAAAAAATGTAATCTCTGGGGCCGTGCCTGGGTGGTTCTGTCAGTTAAGTGTCCGACTCTTGGTTTCTGCTCAGGTCATGATCTTGAGGTCGTGGGATCAAGCCCCGCGTCGGGCTCCCTCCAGACATTCTGATTTCATTGGATTGGTGTGGGGCCCAGGCACTGACATTTGTAGAATCCTCTGGGTGGTTCTGATGGGCTCCATGCTCAGCGGGAAGCCTGCTTGAGATTCTCTCTCTCCCTCTCCCGCTGCCCCTCCCCCCTCGTGGGCTCTCTAAAAATAAACAAAAAATTTTTTTAAAAGGTAATCTCTGAGGTTGCCCCAGAAGATACCCTGTGGCAACCAATGACTCCACTGTTACTTCTCTACATGCCTTCCCTTTCTAACTCCCAGGATTACAGGGAACCCCCAGGTGTCCCAGAGCCTTGGCTTCTTAGGGATAAGCCGCAAGTGCCAAAGAGCTGAGTAAACATGAGCTGTTTCCCTGCAGTTCTCCCTGCCCCCATCACAAAATTGTCTCCACCCACGTTTCCATATCTCTAGCTGTCAAGTTAAGTTTCCACTGTGGAGATGGATGTGTTTGAGGACCTGGCCCCAGGATTCCTTCAGGTACTATACTTAGCTCTCTAAACCCTTCTGTCCCTAGTTGGATGTGTTTATTATTTACTTAATATTTTGGAAGAATGGATGGCCTGATGATTCCCCTCTCCTATTTCAATCCCTGTTGGGAGTTCACTTACACTGAGCTCTCCCCAATTAAACTCACCCTACAAGACCACTCCTGGATTTTACGGGTTGCTAAATGGTCCCTTCACTTTCTGGAATGGTTTTTTTTTCTCCTGAGAAGCACAGAGCTTACCTTTCTTGCCCAAACACTTATGCTTTTCAAGGCCTTTAGCCAGACACCCTCCCACTCCCTGCCCCCAAGCCTAGTCCGGAGCCACCTGTATGACGGATTCTCAGGCAAAACCCTTGGAAGTATTCATGACTGTGTGGTTGATTGGGGGCTTCCTCAAAGCTGCCTGTGTGGCCCCTCAGGTTTCCTTCTGGAGCCCCCAAAAGCATTGCTCCAACTTTGCCAAATACAGCCCAGCCAAGAGCGTGAATTTGGCCCAGCATGCAATTGCAAATTGGCTGGCTGATCTGAAGGTGTTGCTTGTCCCAGCCTCTGTTTAACTCTGATGTTTTCCCCTCCTCCTCTTCCCTTTGCAAAAGGAGAGGACCCAGAGAAACCTGAAACCCGAGGGAGAGGAAGAAAGTTCACCTCTCTATAAATACCCTCTGGCTGGCAGCCCCATAGTCTGCTCTGTGCCTCAGGAGAGCCTTCTGGACTAGGTGCCTAAGGAAGGGAAATACTTTCAAGGGGCAAAGGAAAGTCAGGGAACATCTTGGCTCACAGTCTTTCCTTTGGGCTTGCTCAAAAACCGGGCTTGCTTGGCTTCTCAATGGGCTTCTTGGTTTTCCAGAAGGAGCACAAATGTCAAATGAAGTTCTTTGGGCCTCCCACAGGCCTTGCACAAGCTGAAACAGCCAGGCCCTGGAGAGGAACCAGAACAGAGGTGGAAAAGGTCTGAAATCTCTCCAGGGAGCTGGACAACATGGCCATCTCGGGTGATTTTATAGAATCACAAAATAAGTCAACACTGTTATGCCTGCTAGTGGAAGAAAGGAAACAGTGACACTAATTTCTCAGATAATCACAATTTTTTTCCCTAGTAGCATGATGACCGCGTACCGTAGTGACTTACAGCCTTACTCTCGCCCCCCAGCGGGTGTTTTCTTTTTTCTTTCTTTTTTTTTTTTTAATTTTATTTTATTATGTTATGTTAGTCACCATACAATACATCATTAGCTTTTGATGTAGTGATCCACGATTCATTGTTTTCATATAACACCCAGTGCTCCATGCAGTATGTGCCCTCCTTAACCTGCTGAAATGGGGTGTGCATATGCCCATGTGTTGGAGTGATGGTCGAGAGAAACACAGTGGTAGCAGATTTCTTCACCTGGGCTCAGTCACGGCTTCAGGCACCAAAACGAACAGGGCTATTCCTCCTCCTCCCCCACTTCCTCAAGCAACCCTTCCTCATACTTTCTGCAGATAGGTCACTCACACTTCATCTGCTGAGACCCAGCCTTCTGGGCCTTGCAATTCTCTAGGCAGGAAACCAAGAATCCTAATCTCTAGGAAAGACCGTTTAGAACATGGTCAACTTGATGGAGGGAGAAGGGACGTGAATAAATGTAAGATATATATTTTTCTCACGTTCACATTGAAAGAATATTTGCGCTCCCTAAGCATAAATCTATACGGTGAAAGAGAGCAACCTGGAAGGCAGTAGAAGCTGGTCTGAGATGAAACAGTTGCTCCAAAATGATCCAGGGGATGGAAAAATCTCCTCACAGGTCACTGAGTGTTGACTTGGTTCATCTTTCCTCACCAGATCTCTCAAAATCTGCTCGAAAGAGGCAGATCTGCTCCTTCTCCTTTTTCCAGACCACTTGCAAAGTGGATGCTGAGGAGTGGGCCCAGGCAGAAGGAGGATAGAAGCAGAGAGTTCTAACAGCCTGACTTTCTAGAGCCCAGATGGGGTTTGCCAGGCTGCTGGCTCCTGGGTTGTAATTCTGGATGGGATTCAGCCCTAGGGAAGCCCTGAGCCACTGCCTTTCTCTTGGGAGGCACTGTCTTCACACTCAGTGGAGGCCAGGGTGGCTAGAGTCAGTGGTTGTCTTCTACTCTTTCTGGAACAAGCCTCCCCAGCATGCTCTGGAGCCCAGGATGAGGCGTGAGGGGCTTGTGGCATTAATAGCCGAGTTGAAGTTCCCCCACTCCTTGCTGTCCCTTCTCCTCTGAATCCTGCATACCCTCTCCGCATTTCCCATGTGACCAGAGGAAACCACTGGTAGCTACAGAAGCAGTTGAAAGGACAGTCACAGCCTGTGCCATTTATCTCTCTTCCATACCAATCCCTTTGCTAGCAGGTTCAGCGTGATGCGAAATTGTACACAACACAACTAGAGACAAACAAAGATGAACACACAGCTGGGGGTCCTGCTAGGCAGAGACATAGTCGCTCATCACTGGGATGGAAAGATGAGGAGACAACTGATTCTGGTGCCCCAGAGCTTCCCTAAAGCACACCGAGCTGAGAGGCAGGCATGGACCTGTGGAATTCTCTTCTATGCTGAGGGCGGCTCACTCTTCATAGATCCAGAACTTCTCTCCTCCCAGAAGCCCTCCCCAATTAGTTCCTTATCCTAATGCCTGGCAGAGAGGCTACCATAAAATATGTGTTCATTCATTAGTTCATTTATTTATTCAGCAAGTATCTATTAGGAGCTAGGCACTATTCTTGGTGCAAGGGATAAAGCAGTTAAAAGGCAAAATCCCTGTCCTCATGGAAGTTAAATACTAGGGGGGAAAACAGCAAATAAATGATTCCTATTTAGTAAATATTTGTCGAATATAAAAAGCCTCCCATTTATGGCTTGTTTTTTCCTAGATGCAGTGTGGTGATTTGGAGTCAGACAGTCTGGGGGTTTACGCCCTACTCCATCCATTAGCTTTGGGCAAATTACTAATCCCTCTGAGGCTTGGTTTTCTCATCTGGAGGATAAATCGAGTAATCCAACCTCTCAGAATTTGGACAATGGTCAACACTCAAGAAATTAAGCCTGGTGCTGTTGGGTGGTGCCTTCTCTGGACCTCAAATCTTACCCCTCAGAGCTGAATCTTAAGCACAACCAAACCTGAGCCCTCTCTCCTTTTCTTCTAGTGTTTAGAGGGTTCTCTCTGTCCTTGGTGTGCTGGTGTAACACCCAGCTCTGTGACAGGAAGTGAGGGAGGGAGGGAGGAGGGGAGGGAGGAGGGAAGGAAGGAAGGAGGGAAGGAAGGAAAGAAAATCCTGATTTCTAAAGTTTGCTGATCTCTGTAAACACTCCTGCTATGGAGATTTCAAAAAACCAACATGACGTCACTGAACGCAGAGTTGGGAAGAGATGCACACAATTGATTCTCAGTCATCATGAGTTGGCTTTGGCACACCTCTGCAGTTTTAGACCTTTTTCTAGCACCTTCTACTTTGTAATTTTGTTAATATTTTTGGTCTGCTTTCTATCCCGAGTGCCCTATTCAAGCCAGAATCACAACAAGTGGGGCATATCTCCTTCTTCCTACCTGGTATGCCCTCTTCACCTCCGACTATTTCCCCAAAAGCTGCTGGCTCTTCTGCTAGTTTGCAGCCCAAAACCAAGAAGCAGGAGAGACAGACCCATCCCCTCCGGGAGTCTAGGCTAGGAGAGGAGCTGCTTTGCTAACCCCCGTGATGCCAGGGCATCTGGAGAGGAAAGGAGGGGAAAGCTGCTCCCTCATCCTGTCCCTGCACGGACACAGCCACACCTCTGGGCTATTTTAAGCCATCTGTTTACCCTGAGGGGCCCGGGAGACAGATCTCCACAGCTGTTACTTGTGGCCAGGAAACACTCAGGGCTCCACCTCCCTCCTGAACTACTCTCAGAGCACCCAGAAAACTGCCCTGCTGCTCCTCTTTTTCTGAGCCTTGGGTCAGAGAAGCCTCTGAGCCCCACTACCTCACAGATGGAGATAGCTGGAACCCTGTTTGGGAAATCTGGGACCCGGAATGAGTAAGAGACCCATGGAAAGAACACTTGGCTGGAGTCAGAAGACCTGGTTCTATGGTCTTGAACAAATCACTCAATCTCCCTGACTCAGTTTCCCCTCTGTAGAGTGGCAATAATGTAACCCCCCCTCTCCCAGCATGATGCTGAAGGTTGAATGGGCTCACACACGTGCAAGTATGTGGTGATTATAAAGCCCTGGACGAACATAAGTTGTGTCAGAGGATTTGACCATTAGGACCAACCCCCGGGACCCCAAAGCATGTTCAGTTGAACAAACATAGTCTAATACTGTTCCAGACCTATCCTACCCCTGTGCTGGGGAGATCACAATCCTGCACAGAGTGGGTGTGCACGTGCCTGTGTGTGACCAAGGGTAGCATGGACCAGCAGGCTTAGGGTGAGGAAAAGGATCTCCTTCCACAGAGAGCCACTGGAACTGCGGACTCTCCTGGCCTGGTAGCCCTTGGCTCTCCCTAGGTCCATATTAATCTGTGCTCCTCTTGCTTCTTTAATACTATGACAAGGGTGACATTCGTTGGCTGGGCTTGGGTGAAGGCAAGGTCCAGGCTCTTGCCTGAATTCTTCCCTTAGGAACTAGGTTGCATTTTTCCCTCAGGTTCTCTTAGAAATAAAAAAAATGTCTGAGCTGGAAGGGACCTTAGGGATCAACTTAGTGTAACTTCTTCATGTTACAAATGACAAAACTGAGACCAGGGCTGGAAAATCACTTACCAAGCTTCAAACGGCAAGTCCGGAGGGCCACCCAGGGCTCCTCTGCCCCCTGAGGACAGCATGCCTCCATCCTTCCTGAAATTTCTCCTAGTGTGGACCTTACTCTGACTGTGGGCATTGCTGGAGATGCCCATCAAGGAGCCTTGGGGCTGAGGAAGGCAATGTGGCCCTATGTATCCCCTTCTTATTCTTGGCCTACAAACTTTGCCGGGTCCTTTGCAAAAGTAACAGAGAGGGAAGAGGAAGAAGGACAACTTGGTTTTATTCCTGGAGATGGCATAATCTGGGCAAGACAGAGGGACCCTGTATGTAGGCCTCTCTTTGGGGCCTGGAGACCCTTTGCTCAGGGTCCTTGTTCCTCCTTGGGGCTGTGGCCGAGGGCGGAATACCTCTTCTGCCCAGAAGCTCCTGGCCCTGGACTGTTACCTGCTCTGTAACTACTGTTGCCCTGGGGGTGGATGTGGAGAACCCCTGGGCAAACTCAATAAGAAAAAAAATGCTTCTCACTCAGCCTCGGGAAAGGGCAGATCTGTTTTCCCTGTCTTAGGATCTTCCACTCCAGAGAGAAGCTGTAGAGAAAGAGTGAGAGCCATACAGAGAGAGGAGAGGCCCTCTCAGCAGCAGGAAGAGAAGTCAAGGGAGGAGGTACTTTGGGTTCATATTTAAATGTGTCTGTGTCATCCCCTGTCCTTACCCAACTCCCTGGGACTAGATAGCCTGTACCCAGAGAGGCAGATGACAGCCCACTACCAGGAGGCCTGAGCGGTGGTTTCATTCTCTGGGGCCTTGCCTCCGAGGAGCTGCTCCTACCTCCCCTTGGTTAGGGGGTGTGGTAGGTGTCGCCCAAGAGGCCAAGAGATATTTGCAGCTGTAACTGCGGCAGCCCCTACCATGCATGGTAGGTTCATGGCGGCAGGACCGTGCCCTTGACCCCTACTATGACCATCCTGAATTCCCCCAGCCCACCCGCAGCCCACGCTCTTCTAGGGAGGAGGCCCCCGGCCCACACCCAGGTCTCACCCTGTGACAATCTCAAAGGGAGGCAGTTCAATCAGCTCCTTCAGCTTCTCAGGGTCATCCAGGTTTTCCAGATCCTCACCATTCTGGGAAGCGGGCGCCGCGGGCTCAGCGGCCGCAGCAGCCGCAGGGGCCTCTTCTTTCTGGGCCATGGAGGGATGGTGGCTCTGCAGTCACTGAGAAAGGGGAGAGGCAGCGAGCTCCCGGGGCCAGGCCTGGTGGCAGAGTCCCAAGCAGCTGTCAGCAGCTAAATCTGTCTGGGGACGACGGGAAGAGGCCCCGGGCAAGCCAGGCATAGTGTTCTCACCTCCGGGCCACACAGGCTTTATAACTGGAGCCCTCCGCCCCTCCCCCAGGCCCTCGCCCTCTATCTTTTTTTAATTGAGTGACAGCGGGTGCCGGGATGGGGGGAGTGGAAAATCTGGCCACTAGTATCTCCTATTTATCAGTAGGCAAAGACAGGATGCTGGCAGGTGGGCATGGCAAGGCCCGCTGTCCCTTCCCCCACCGGCTCACACATTTATTCCTACTCTCACCCTCCAACTTATTTCCTTCCCTCTGTTTCCCCGAGCAACCTTTCCAGCTCTGCTGCGGGTATGGAGAAAGGGATAGAGGGTGGGCATCCTGAGATTTAGGAGAGATGCTCTCAGAGGTACAAGCAGGATGAGGCTTGTGTTGAATGGGGTGCTTGCAAAGAAACCCCCGCCACCCTTTCGGCTGGGGAGATGTGGGTTCAGTAAAGGAGGGTCCTGAGACGGGGTAGGATAAGAACTGTGAGTCGTTACTTAAAGGGAAGAGATGCGAATTTGCCTGTTATGGCTGCATAATGCTGGGTCGGTTCCTGAGCCTCCAGTAGTAACAATACTGCCATCTACAAGCTCAGAGGTTTTGAGAGAGAACAGGCAGAGAGGGTCATGGTTTGTGTGTGAAATCAAACTTAATGCTCTCAACAGCCCTGGGAGGCAATCTGTATCAACCCATGTTTCATGTGGGGGAACTGGGACTCAAAGAAAGACTGGTTAAGGACCTTGCCTAGGGCCATACAGCCCACAAATGGAAAAGTCAGGATTCGAACCCAGGCGTTTTTACTCCAGAGGCCAAACATTTGACCTCCATGCTATGTTTCCTCTCAGTTGGTCCTTTATTCATTTAACAAATATTTGTTGAGCATCTACTATATGCCAGGTGCTGTTTCAGGTATTGGGAATATGGCACAGAACAAAACAAATGAAAATCCTTGCCCTCCCAGAGCTTGAGGGGGTTGGGCAATAAACAAGATAAGTGATCCATCTATCTATCTATCTGGTCTATTTGCTGGTGCTAAGTGCTAAGGAGAGAAGGCAGGTAAGGGGGACAGAAGTGTCAAGGGGTGGGGTAGTATTTTTATAGAGTGGCCAGGGAAGGACTTTGAAAAGCAGACAACTGGGAAAAGATCTGAAGGTTGTGAGGGAAATATGCTATGTAAAGGGAAAATGGTCCAAGGGCAGGAAGAACAGGTGCAAAGGCCCTGAGGTGGGAGTATTCCTTGTGTTTGATGAGCAAGCAGATACCTGTGCGGCTGGAGAGTCCTAGGAGGAAAGGCCAGAGAGATAAAGAAGGGCTAGATAGGTAGGACCTTATGGACTTGCCAAGGACCTGACTTTTTCTCTGAAGGAGATGGGAAGCCATTGTCTTCGAACAGATGAAACACATGGTCTGCCTTATATTTTTACAGGATCACCCAGGCTGCTTGTTTGAGAATAGACCAAAGGTGGGAAAGAGCAGAAGCAGAGGGGCCAGTTATAAGCCTGTGAAAGTGATGAGAGACACCTGGAGCCCCTAGAAAAATCCCTGAGCTAAAATAGCATTGGAAGATGGACGGATCACTTTTGCAGTTCACATCTTGGATGCTTAGTGGAAGCCACAGGTGTTTATGCTTGGGGCAGTGCAAACACTCTAGACCATTCTCAGGTCAGTGGAAGGCTAGGGTCAGGGTCACCCAGAGGTTGAAAGTGAGGAACCTGAGAACATTGGGAACTGTTGGAACCCAGCCACAAGTGGGGTTGGGTGGTGGTGATAGAAAGGAAGGGTACCCTTCCACGGTCTGCCTAGAGAATAGGAATCAGGTCAGTCTGGAGTATTTGGGGCTCTCTCCCTAGAGAATTGTGAGCAGCACAGAGGCCCATGAGTAAGAGGCCAAGCATTTAGGTCTTCCTGGATGGTCATAGTTTCTACCTGTCATCCAGGCATAATTACTACCAGTGCCCCTTTCACTCCCCAGAGTGCTCCGGTATTGACCATAAACTATATGGTCACCCTACCTAATAGGCTTATTACTGAAAGCACTTATCCTGAGATGATTTTTTTCAGGTGTTTTTTCCCGGGGTGTCAAGCACAGGGTGGTAGGAGTAGTGCCTGTGTCCACAAAGAAAAGGCGGTGATTGCTGATATATCGGGGACACACATTATTCATTGACATCCCACAAACATACAACATTTCAGTGCAAAGAGTTTACTTCCTTCTTTTATTTGATCCACACTTATCACCGTGCCAGGTACGGTAGGAGATAGCGAGAACACAGAGATGCGTGAGGTGTAGCCTCGCCTGGAGCACCCTGTCTTCACCCTCAGCAGGTGCTCAGGCGTGCATCAGCGCATTCAGGCCTCACACGTCTCACACAGGTGGGCGGGGATTGCTGACCTTGGTTTGCAAGTAGGGACCTGGGCCCAGCTCAGGAAGGTGAAGTGATTTGTGCAAGATCACACAAGGATTTAAGTCCAGGTTCTCTGTGAATAATTCTTATCTCCAGGGCTGCACCCAGCCAGCTCTGATGAATACATGTCTAAAGCGGTATAGGCGTGTTTGTCCCTCTCCTACTTCCGGGTCAGCCACAGTGAGGGGCTTGGAACAACCAAGGATGAGTCAAAGGTCTGGGGGGAGGCAATCGAGGAGGAGGGATCCTTTCCCCCTATGGGAAAGATTTCCTCCTTGAGGACACGTTCTTTTTTTTTTTTTTTAAAGATTTATTTATTTATTTTTAAAGATTTTATTTGAGAGAGACAGAGAGTGAAAGAGCACAAGCAGGGGGCGTGGCAGAGGGAGAGAGAGAAGCGGGCTTCCTGCTGAGCAGGGAGCCTGATGCAGGGGCTCAATCTCAGGACCCTGAAATCATGACACTAGCCGAAGGCAGACACTTAATCGACTGAACTGCCCAGGTGCCCCAAGATTTATTTGTTTTTAGAGAGACAGAGAGAGAGAGAGAGAGAGAGACGGGGGGAGGGGCAGAGGGAGAAAAAGAGGGAAGAAGCAGACTCCCTGCTGAGTGTGGAGCCTGATGGGGGGCTGGATCCCACAACCCTGAGATCATGACCTGGGCCGAAATCAAGAGTAGGATGCTCAACTGACTGAGCACCCAGGCGCCCGAGGACTGGGAATATGGCACAGATATTTTGGCTGTCAAGTATAACCCAGGATTGGGAGGGAAAAAATAAATCCATGTTCATGTCCCCATCTCAGCCTTGATTCACTGTGTGATCTTGGCCAAATCACTAAGCATCTCTGGCCTCAGTGCTTCCATCTGAGTTATTGTCCAGGATGGTTAAAGGGATGGAAATGAGAAGAGGAGACAGGCTGGCTCCTGTGGGGGTGAAGATGAACAGTGAAGATGAACAGTGTCGTGAAAATTTCCTGACTCTGAGTGATGGTGGGAGGTGGGGCAGAGGTGGACCCAGGCTGGTCCTTTCTGAAGAGGTGACCCCTGGCTTCCACCACACCCACATATACTTTTTCCTTTGATACTTGGGAGAGCATCCTGGGCCCTCCCTTGGACTGAGAACTGACAGCTTCCTTTTCCACTGCTCCTTTCCAGCCCCCACCCCTACCCCCCCATCCCTGGAGGCCCTCTGAACTAGCTCTGGCTATTTATGGCACCTCCTTGGGGCCTGGTTCCTGGCTGGTCCCTGGTTCTCCTTTCCAAGTTCTACCAGTTTCCCCTGCTGGCCCCAGAGTGCAGCAGCTAATCTGGGGATCAGGTGCCAGGAGCTTGGCTCTGCCCTCCTGCAGCAGCTGCTATATTCTTTAGGGCGGGCATTCCCCAACCCCCCTGTTAACACTTGGGTAAGTTTCTATCCCTTTGCCCCCCTGCAGAGGAGGAGACAGAGAAATAAGGTATCTAGTTCAAGGTCACAGTAGGAGTCTGGGGCGGGTGCTGGAATTTGAACCCAGGTCTGCCAGTCTCCAAGTTCCAGGCTTTTCCAACTGTGTTATGCTGCCTGGGATTCAGGAACAGGGAGTGCTGACACTAGCACAGCCCTTCCTGGGGGCCTGACACTGGTCTAAGCAGGTCATGTAAATTAGCCCATTTACTCCTCACGAGGATATTGGAGTAGATACTACTATTATTCTCATTTTATTGGTGAGGAATTGGAGACCAGAGAGCTTAAGTGACTTGGCCAAGGTCACGCAGCTAATGGAGAAGAGCTGTGTGCTGCGAGTCATGCTGTTGCCCCTTCACCATTCAGCTCCTACGGCTACCAGGACCCCCGCGGCCAGGCTTGAGGACGGGGGGCAGGGGCGGGAAGGGGTCTAGGGGAGGAAGGGCTTCTTCAGGGACTTTGTCAGTATGTGAGGGGTGCACGTGCACAGGTATATATGTATGTGTGGTGCGTGTGTGTAGAGGGTACGGGTGTATAGAGACAAAGCAGCTGGTGAGTAGGGATGGAAACCAAAAAGGGGAGTCTCCCAGTCTGTCTCTGCCGGCCTCGGCCCCATTCTCTCCTCATGGCAGTGGATGGAAGCAGCAGATTAGGCCCAAGAGAAGCTGCAGCCTGCCTCCCCCGCTCCCATTTCCCAGGGTCATTTCAGAAAACATTTGGATGTTCTGGAGGTGGCTGAGGAGTAAGGGACAGGGCCAGGCACAGCTATTCCTTGGGTCTCAGTCTGATGCTAAGCTGCCCTCACTGGGAAGGGAGTCAAGGCCAGGAGGAGCCTAGTGGAAAATAGAAACCTCACCAGGGGAAGGTTTAAATTTTCACTTTGTGAAAGAAGACACCTCGGGAGCGTGTTGATGGAGTGGGTGCTTTATGTGTTGGAACAGCTGGGACCCCAACAGTGCGTTGCCCCAGAGACCCAGCCCGGGCATGCCCTTCCCTCGGTCACTACCGAGACGAGGTACACAAACAACGGGCTGCAGGCACCAGACACCCCGCTGGCGGGCAGAAGCCTGCACCCTCCAGCAACTGTTCTGTTGACATAAACACGGAGTGTCCAGAGCTTTGGCCGGGCGGGGGGAGGGGACCCAGGGTCTCCCAGAGGTCTAAGGCTGAGATCAGGGAAGGCACTAGACTCGCAGGGCAGGCCAGGGTTTTCAGTATCCTCCTGTGCAGCACGCAACGCTCGGCTTGCCAGGCAGAACATGCTGCCCCAGGGGAAAATGGTGACACCGGGACTTTAGTCCTGGTCACCGCGGTCCTCCATCCTGTCAGCCACTCCCGGCACCGCCCGGCTCCTGCAGCAGGCCCTTCAAGTCTTTGAGGAAAGTGATCTGATAAGAACCATGCACATGAAGGTGACTAACAGTGTTCCTCTTTGAAGGGGGTGTTTGCAGGGCCAAAGAACCTACTAGGAGAATTTGATAAACTGAATCAACTTTTGAGAGGAGAATTTCAGTGCTTAGAACGCTCAGTGTGTAGAGCAGGTGCAGGTACAGGGGACAGGGGTTTCTTTGGTGCTCCTGTGGGCAGATAATTTCCGTGTGGGCTGGGGGATCTTGGAGATACAGACAGTAGAGGGACGAATGAAGCTGAAGAGATACCACTGAGGCACCTGTTGTGACAAAGAGGGCCTGTCCCCGTTTGCACGCTAGCAGAGTGGGCCTAAGTGGGTGAGGGTTCTTGAAAGCTAGGAGGAGAGAAGGGGCCTCGAGGGACTCTACCTGAGCATAAAAGAGGGAGGTCCGGATCTGAGGGGGTCCCGACCAGAGTCAGGCTTTGTGTGAGTAGGTAACTTGCCTGCCACTAAAGAGGATCAGCAGTAAGTCCTTAAAACAAAAGGGACTTGTCCTTGTTTTCCAGAACTGCAAGAAGGAGGAGGACTCTGAAACTGAGGTTGGGGTGCTGGGGAATTCCAGGAGATCGGATGGATGTGGCCACCCCAAAGGAAGATTTTGGAGCCCTGGCCCAGGCCTGGCCACACTCCGGGGGCCTTACACTTCCTTCCACCTGGGCATCACCTCTACCTGCCCGTGGGAAGGAGGGGCTGGGGACACCTAGAGAAAACACTGTCTGCACTCTGCTCCCTCCCAGCCCAGCGGACCGAACTTTGTCCACTATCGGTCTGCCCACATCACCTCGCCCCTCTGTGGCTCCACTCTGCAGACTAGGCAAAGGGAGGAAGAATGCAGGGTTCGAGGCAAGGAAGGAGGAACTAAGCTACAGTAGAAAGAGATGTACCACGTCCTGGGGGTGCTATGTGAGCTGGTGCAGCGCTCCATCTCTGCAGACACCGGGGGTGGGGGGACTGCACAGCCCTTGAGGAGCTCATTTCCCCCTCCCTGCCACCCTCCACCCAGTGAATCATATTCACATGCTATGTGCCCACTCAGAGGCAAATGGAATACTACCACCCAAGGACAGAGAAGCACACACACACACGACTGGGATGGTGGGATCCCAGGACACACCTAGCAAAGACAGGTGGCAGCTCTGACTCTACTCAGGCACAACTCTAGGTAACTGGTGATCTAGGAGGGGCCCAGGGCAGTGTGTGCTCATCATCAGGTGCGGCTCAGAACTGGGAGGTGGGGTGGGGAAGGGACAAGGGGTTCAGGCAGTTTGGGAGACTGGGCGATTAAAGGCTCCCACCCAGGAACCAAGGAGTGGTGCAGAAGGGAATTTTTTTTTTTAAAGATTTATTCATCCATTTGAGAGAGAGAGAGAAAAGGCTTGCTGCCATGATCGCGTGATGGGGGGAAGGGGCAGAGGGAGAGGGACAAGCAGACTCCTCACTGATCACAGAGCCCAACTTGGGGCTCAATCTCATGACCCTGAGATCATGAACTGAGCTGAAATCAAGAGTCGGACTTTTAACTGACTGAGCCACCCAGGCGCCCCTGCAGAAGGGAATTTTAAGGATGACTTTGGGGACAGAGTTTGTGGTTGGAGTCCTGCCCTTTCTGGCTGTTTCTGTGCAAAGCCAGGAAGCCCCTTAGTTTGGCTCATCCCTTTCAGGCAGTCTTGTTATTCCAGGGCTTGGGACACCGCTCTGTTGAACAAATCAAGCTTTGTTCTAGGGCCAAGTGTCCAAAACTAGAGGTATCTAGATGCCTGGGTTTGTGGATCAGCTTGCACTGGGGAGGGCAAAGTCATGCAATGGACTTGGGCTGACTCTCCTCTTCCTAGAGCATCAGTTAAGCTTCTAGAATTGCTGGCAACACAAATAAAATTAGTAGCAAATATTTATGCTGCCTATATGAGATGATGATGACAATGACAATGACAAATAACTCTGGGGTGTTCACTTGCCTAAGGTCACCCGCTGATAGTGGAGTAGGGCTGAGAACCCATGTAGCGTGGTGGCTCTGAGCCCACCCTCAATCAGTATTTGTAGATTATGTTTCTATGCTTAAAACAGTTATACATATAAGTGAAGTTATAAATTCAACTAAAAGCAGCTTTAGAAAATTTGATAGAGGTGAAGACAAAATCCACCTGAACGTGCACCATAAAAAGCCGGTCATTTTGTGCGTGTGACACTGGTCAGGCTAGCCCACAGACCTGAAGAGAGGTCACTCACTCTCCCCACTCTTAGAAAGTGAGGGAAATACCACTGGGGGTCTTGGAGCAAGATGGGTCTCCAATTGTCATGTGAATCAGAACCATGCATGCTTAGTGAACAGGTGGCCTCCGGGTTCCCCTCCTAGAACAGCTAACAGGCATTAAGCACTTCTTCTGTGCCAGACCTCTTTTTACTGATCTCATCTCTTCTCGCCAATTCTGGGGGGGGGGGTGCGGGGCATTGCACAGGTGAGAAGAATGAAGTACAGACAGTGAAGTCAGTTGCACTGGGTTACCAGTTAGTAAATGACAGTCCATACCAAGCCCAGGCTGGCCTGTCTCCAGGGCCAGAACTGCAAACCATAGTACTGTATGGCCTTCCTTCCCCAAGATGATCTGATTCTGTGGGTCTGGAGCAGGGTTGGAGTCCAGGCCTTCCGACAACTGCCCCCGGGAGGTCACTGGGCCACACTTTGAGAACCACGCTGGTAGCTGTTTCAATCAGGCTGATCATTTAGAACCACCTGAGAAGTTTCAAGAACTATGAAGACCCTGCCCTTCCCCAAACACAGGCTTTTTCAATGGGTCCAGATTTCCCTGCAGGTGTTGGTGGGGTGCTGGTCAGCATTTTCTTTTCATTGGACGAAATGTTCATTTTTCCAATCAATAAAGATACCTGAATACCTGCTCTGTGCTCTGGGCTGCGCTGGGACTGGGGATACAAAGGTGGGTGTACCTGACTTGCCTGCCTGGGCAGAGCATGCCCTTTCTGGAGGCAGAGAGGATGCAGATTCCTTCTTGCCTGTTCTCCTTTGGTGGCTCCAGAAAGAGCCGGTCTCCTTGAACGATGTCCTTCTGGCTTCTTCCCTGTGTGGTCCTTGGCCCCCACCAGAGAGGTCATAGCTGGTTCTCCACCCAGAACTCAGGTCACAGAATCAGTTTGTCAAAGTGAAAAGAGCCCTGAGAGACCATCCATACCTGGAGCTTTCAATTTTTAGTGAAAGTTGACACAAGTGCTGGGAGCTTGTTAAATATAAAGATACCTGGAGCCCACCCCAAAAGTCACGCACGGGTGGGGTCAAAGGAACATGCATTGTAATAAGCTCCCTAGTGGCTCTGCGAAGCACTCAGCAATGGTTCTCAGGTGGGCTGCAGGAGGTCCTGGGGAGTTTTAAAAACACTGATGCCCAGCTCCATCTCTAGAGAGTGGTCAGTCGCTTCAAAATCTCCTGTGCAGGGTGTCTGGGCCTTCTAGCTGACTTTGTTTGGGCTTTGGGGGAGGCAGCCCCAGGGGCAGTCACTGCTACCCTTGCTACCACCAGGGCCTTAAAACAGGAGGAGAATAAAACAATAGTAGAGAAGAGACAAAAATAAAGAAGCCAATGAGAAGATGTAGAAAGAGAGAAGTCTGGGCAAGAAGCTCCTGCAGAAATCACTTATCAGCACTGAGGGGTTCATCTCTTTTTCCCAATGTTTTTTCTTATTATAATAGGCATTAATTGATTTTTAAAAATTCATAATAAAAAAGTATATGAAAACAAAAATAAAAAATGAGCTATAATCCTCCTTTATCAGAGATAATTGCATAAGGTCTTAATATGACATATATAAAGTACAGTATATTGCATAACCGTAGTATAATATTATTATAATAACTGTAATATAATATGATCTATTATACATATTATATTATTGTTATTAATATATTAATTAAAATCCGACGAAATAACATTAAACTATTCTAAAATAAAATATAATATATAAACCTGACACATATAATCTGTATCTTTTTCTTACTCTATCTACTTTTCCGTTTTGCTTTTATAGAACCTTTCAAAAAGACTTTGTGTTCCAGGTAACTGAAAGTCCAAGTCCTAAATACCCCGGCCCTATTCGGAGGGCGCCCAGGTGGAGCGGGGACGGCGCGCCCACCCTCCCCTGGCCGTGCGCGCTCCTGCACGCATTGACGGACACGCACTCCCACACGTGCACAGATGCGTCTAACCGTGCTCGGCAGCCCCAGGCTTCGTGTTCCCAGATAGGCACTTCATATCGTACCCAAAGTTAGTAAAGGATTTTATTAATGGATATTACTAAGTTACTTTATTAATACAGGATTAATTAATTTATATTAAGTGGTAAAATAAGCTCCCCTCCCTCCCTTTTCTGTTTCTGAAATCGAATGGAAATTGGCACGAGGGGAACCAGGACAGTGACCACATTGGGCCGAGTCATCTTCAGGGATTCATCAATCCCTGGCCCCCCGTCCCCCTCCTCCCCTCTCTCCCAAATAGCCCCACAGCCCTGCCTGCGTTCTCTTCTACCCCTCCCCTGGCCATCCTCCCTCCTCTCCTGTCCCTGGTGCCTCAGTCACTCTTCTCCCCCATGGGCTGAGGCTGATGGTTAGGACAGAGGCTGTCCCTCCACAGGCGGTAGGCGATGGAAGCGGTCACGGTGAGCCAGGCCAGGTAAGGCAGCAGGAGCACGGCGGCCAACTTGTTGATGGGATGCCAGATCAGCGCTGTGCTCACCACCAGTCCGTAAAGCAGTAGCAGGTGCAGCAGGGCCTGGGGGGATGGGTGGGGCGGGCAGGGCAGTGAGGCAGGCTGCCCTGAGAACTGAACCCTCTTCTTTCCTGCAGCACCCTGGACCCTGTGAGCCAAGTTGCTGAGGTCTGGGCACTCAACTGGAGCTCAGAGAAGTCCGCCCACCCATTAACCTGCCTGCAATCGATTGGTCTACTGTGTTATCTGCTCTGGGGGGGGGGGGGCAGTGGTCTCACTTGCTCCTACACTGCTTCCACTGCATGCCTTACCAGACCATGGGTGTGGGCTGCGAAAAAGAAAATCAGGACAGCCCAGCTGACGGCGAGCTGCACAGCATAGAGGCCGAGAGGCAGGGCCAGGGGCCGCCCAAAGCCCCCTCCCAGGTCCTTCCACACCAGGTAGGAGGCATAGCTGTGGAGAGATGGTGGCAGAACACTCAGAGGGAGGGTGTTTCATGGCAAATGAAGGAAGTCCTCTGGCATAAGGACACTTGGTTACCTAAAGGAAGCCGTGTGGGCTGAAATGGGAGCAAGAGTGTCTAAGCATCACTTGAGGGCCAGCGGGGAGGTGGTGGGAGGAGCCCAGCTCGATGAGGTGGGGGAGGCAATGGGGAAACTTGGAGAAGGGGAGGAACACAGCTGGCTGGAATCCTAGGCAGGCACGGAGGGGACCCACCATAAGAGGCAAGATGGCGTGCCATCACTTCGGAGGTCAGAATGCGGCAGTAGTTCAGGAACGGGGGCCCTTGTTCCCACCCTAGCAGGTACCAGGGCCATGGTATGAGAAATGGGTGCTCACCCCATGACAAAGTAGATGGTGATCCACCCTGCCAACAAGACTTTGTGAGGTGGGCACCAGGGCGGTTTCTTTGGGTTGTCGTACCAACCAGACATCCGATGACGGGTGAGCAGCCAGAGCAGGATGGGCCCCAGGTGGGGAAGGGCCAAAAAGATGGCGCCTTGAGGCTGCATTCCCCTCACAGAGGCAAAATCTAGGAAGGCAGACAACACGATGGTGGTGGGCCTCCCTCTTAGTCCTTTCCCTGGGCCTGCTTGACTGTCTCCACCTCCTACCTGACACAGTTCCCTGGCCTGAGTCCCTCATGGGAGGTCTGGTAAGAGATGCCATTCTCCCCACCATGGGCCAGCTCCCATCCGGTGAGCCCACACTGCCTTGCCCTTTCTCTGGCTTCCATGGACTTATTTTCTCCACCACCCATTTGGCACTCAGAAGATACTGTCCAGTACTGATAATTACTTCTGAGTGCAAGGCTCCTTCCCCCATCATGTATCTGACTCCTAGAGTTCAGGTCTAGGTATGATTGTCTTTTCTGCCTCCCATAGTGGGTTTCACTTGGTCAGGTACATAGCAGGCCCTTGATAGGGACACTGCCTTATGCTGAACTCAGCCAAGCTGATCTAACCCACCTAGAAGGACCATGTTCAGAAAGGCAGGAGCCAGAGATTCCCTGGGGGTCTTCTCTAGTCAAGAATGGGGCAGCCCATCTGCCCCCAGGCTTATCTCGACACACCAGACTGGCAGACCCAAGAGGCCCAACCAGCCTGAGCTGCTGCCCAAATTCGAACTTAGCTGAGTGACACTGGGCTCCTTTCTCTGAAGCCTTAGGTCTCACCTGTTCCTCAGGGCCTAGGGAGGTCCCTCCTCCACACCTCCACTTCCAGGGAGTCCGAGCCACCAACACAAGTGCTCAGCTTTCTTGTGGACTGACTTCTCAAGGAAGCAACTGCCTGGTCTTTGATTAAAAAGTTGCCACACTCATTTGCTTGTTGCCTTGGATGTCACCGGCATGTGGAACAAGGCACAGACCCTCCTCCAGCCAAGGCCCCCCACCCCCTATCGTTCTCATTTGCACATGATGTTTTAGCCTCCTCCCCATGACTGCCAGGATGGCAAGGAAGACGGATGCGGTGATTCTCAGTGTCCTGGAGTGACTGCCTCCTCCATCCGTTCCTGTCAAGAGCCCCTGTCCATGTCCTGGAGGTTCTGGGGACAGGGCTGACTGGTCTGCTTGCCTGTGCATCTCTCTATTTCTCTGCTCCTCACTGTCCATCTGTTCATCACCGCCTTCTTGTCTCTCTCTTTCTGTTTTTATGCCCAGTGTTGGAGCCCCTCCCGCACCCCCCCTCCTCTTTTCTCCTGTTCTCCACCCTCCTGCTGCTGCCTCCTTATTCCCAGACTGGAGTTCCCCTTACCTCAGGCAGCACACCTCCCAGGCCGAGTGCCCGATGATACCCGCTGTGTGCAAAGCAGAGGAGGGTGGGGGACGGGAGAAGGGCGGAGTGAGGCTCCCATCTGGCCTGTCTTTCTCCAATGACACGGGTAGTGGCGCTGGCATGTCTACATAGCCCTTTTAGGAGAGGTCCCCTTGTTCTGCTAGACCTAGCCTCTGGAGGAGGCCCCTTGATGAAACGGCTGAGGCTTCGGCTCTGTAAGAGCCTGATCCCCTGGACCAGCTCAGCCCCAGCCTGCAAGCCTACCGAAGCCTGTGGTCTCCACATCCCGTGAACTTGCTTTATGTCCACGGGTTGGGGGGGGGGACCCTCAGATTTCCTCAGGACCTTTCTGTAACTGGGATTATCCCCAAGTGAGGCAAGCACCAGCAGCTTGGAAATGAGTTCATGCTACATGGACGCAGCCTCTGGTTATAGTCTAGTTGGCATGCTCCTTCCCGGCTTGGAACTCGAGCTTGACAGATTTTCACAAACCCCTCTAACTTCCTGACTCAGAGGAGAAAGCAGCCTCCTGTGTGACTCAGACAGAGCCTTGTCCAGCAAAGACTAACACCCGCCCTTTTCGTCCCTATAAAAGTTCTGAGCACCTCCTCCTTGCTCGTCCTTTACTCATGAGGTCCCTTTCCCAGGTTGGCAGTTCTCCATCGTTCCTTTGCCCCATCTCTCCACTTTGGGGACCAGGCACCCCTGGGAGGTGTTTATCCCATCCTCTGGCTTCTACCCTGGGGAAGGCAGAGGGGGGTGGGGGGGGCATTGCAGTCAGTGACAAGAGGCTGGGCAATCATTAACTGAGGTGAAAGCAGTGGCAGTTACTTATTTTCTATGAGATGATACCTGGGGGGCTGGGGAGTTCCCCGTGGTCCTTGCCTGCAGGAGTCCAGCCCACGGTGCCCACCGTGACAATGGTTACCACTCACTGGGCATCTATTTTGTGGCAAGCATTTCACGATTGTTAGCTCAATACCGACCATGCTTATCCCTCACGTGGTGGATCGCATTGTCTGCCTTCGTCAGACAAGGGAAGGGAGGCTCAGAGGGGTCGAGTAACTCGCCCGAGAGTACACAGCCAATAGAGGAGTCGCCTGTGTTCAGTGTCCATAGTCTGGGGCCAAAACACATCCTCTTTTCTCTGAGTGGGCTTACGCATTCATTCAACAACAGTCTTTGTTCGATACCTGCTATGGGCCAGGCTGTACCAGGAGCTAAGAGTACGACAGCAAACAGCTGAAAAAAAAAATCCATCTTTGCAGGGATCTTTCATTCCACTGGCACTATCTTTCCGAGGCAGAATTTCTATGAAAGGACTTGGGCTGGCAAACAGCCCAAAGTCTGCTCTCCCCCAAGTGCAGGGTTCCTGCCAACTCTGAGTGTGGGCAGGGAGCAGATAGGGGAACACCCCGATGCTGCCAGCACCTTGTGAGTCGTTAACCCTCCCGGCGCCTCCTCTCATCTCTGTGCGGGAAACGGTGCGACTAGGCATTGTCTGAGCTCCTGGACCAGCTGCCTTGGCGTCAGCTGGGAGCTTCTTAGAGATGCAGAATCTCAGGCCCCAGCTCAGACCTGTGGGATCAGAACTCCTGTTTTCACCCTATCCCTTGTGGGGTTTGTGTGCACGCTGTCCTTTGAGAAGCTCCTGGTAGGGCTCCCCCCTCTTACCTTCTGCCCTTTCCCTCGCCTCTGGCTGGGGCAGCCATTCACCAGCAGAAGGCATTGTAGGGAGGGGTTCACCTGTACCCAGGTTTTCTCTTTCTCTGTCCCCTCCCTTCCAGACCCAAACTGGTGAGTCCACTGACTTCTGCCATCCTCAGCTACTCCTCAGCCTTGGCTGAACTTTGCCAATAGACAGGACAGACTCCCCCACCCCTTCTGAGGGCGCTGGGAGGCAGGTCATTGCCGGGAAGCTCTGGGCCACTCCTGCCCAGATTCCCCGCCCACCTCCACTTGTCTGCTGGCCTGGCGACCGGGTCTGGCTGACCTCTCTGCTTCTCAGAGAAGGAAGTGCTGTTCCTGGACAAGCCGGCAATCTCTGGGAGCACCTACTTGGTAAGGTGAGCACCCCCTGGGGCAGCTGGGGGTAGGGTGGGCATTGCAATGGAGCCACCTGGGGCTCAGGGGAGGAGCCAGGCCAGCTTAACCAGAGTGTGGAGAGCCTCTGCTGGAGGAGGAGATGGCAGAGGGCAAGTGCCCAGTGGGTGTGAGGACCTGGGAGACAGTTGTATGCACTATGGAAATGTAGACTATGCTGATGAATGCTGCCCATTGCAGGTTTGAGCTCATCCATCCCGGTACTTTTTATGTGTTTCAGTAATGAGCTAGCAGGGTTTGAGTAGGCTTGGTAAGAACCAGTTTTGTGGCAGAAGGGTTGAGAGTTGCCTCAAAGGACATGAGCAGAGCTTTGCAGCAGGAATCCAGATCTCTGTGCTGGAGGAGGCAACTCCCGAGGGACAGGTGATAGCATTCTAAAGGACCGTTGTCTTGGGGGACCTGCTACCTGGGGTAATCTGGAGTTGGGGCAAGGCAGACTGGAGCCATGGGTAGTAAGGAGGCAGGCATGGATCTGGGAAGGTCTTGGCTACATTTATCTGGTTGCCCTACTGTAGATTCAGGACCCTTCCTTCTCCTAGGGTTAAGGGGAGGATGGAGTGAGGGCCAAGCAGCTCGGAGAGCTGTCAGCCTGGGAGAAAGGGGCGAAGCTGGGGAGAGTTAATGAATCGGCTGCTCATGAAAGGCCCCTTGGGGCCTTGGGGAGCAGTATGCCAACTGTTCCAGGTTGGGAGCCTGGGCAGGGAGACTCGGCTGCGCCACCCAGTGGGGTGGAGGGGATTTGGACTCTGGTCTTTGGAGGCCCCAGGAAGGTTGTTGCTACAGAAACAGAGCGGAGTCCCTCCTTTCTTTCATGTTAGCTAGCCACCGGCGCCTTTGTGGGCGGGGGGTGAGGGGCATCCTGCACCATGGAACCAAGGATGTGCCTTTCAGGTCTTTCCATTGATTTTTACTTTAATTTTGTTTCTTTCTCTTCCAACTTCACTTCCTCTAGAAGTGGAAAGGAAGAGAGACCTGGGGTGGGGGAAGCGGGGCAGGGAGAGAAAGGTAGTGTTTCTGGAACACGGTCGTCATCCCCATTCATCCTTCCCTCTGCCTTCAATTGTAGCTTAATATCCTCCCATACGTCTCCACGGTGGGGAGAAAACTTGGCTTCCTCATCTGGGAAATGGAGATAAAAATAACACCTAGCTCACAAGGGTACTGTGAGGATCAAATGAGATGGGCCACACAGAGTGCTCTGACACAGTGGGCATAGAGTAGAACTCCAGAAATGATAACCAGTATAATTGCAGTTATAATTCCAATTATCTTTCATGTGGAAGGACCTTTTGGAATGGCTGCACCAAGGGAGGCTGGCTGCTCCAGCCCCCTTTCCCACCAGATGTGGGGCCTTGCCAACTCACCCACTTCACTTGTGTGCCCTGCAAGGGGCTTGGCTGAAGCACGCTGCTGCCCTGTCTGCAAGGTTTGCATTTTAAGGCAAAGGGAGTAAAGCCAAACCTTTCTTCCTGTCTATGTTTTCAGTGGGGACGGGGGGGAAATAGATCCCACCCCAGTCCTTAATCCTGAGGGTACAGAGGAGTTTCTGCCCCTGTCTGGGAGGACCTAAAGAAAGGGGCTTGGGTTTCGTGGGCCCTGAGGAAGGAAGGAAGAAGGTGGGCATGGAAGGAGCTGGAGGCTTGAGGCGAGGCCTCAGCTCCGGGTCGGGGTGTGAGCCAAGGGATGGGGGAGGAACGGATGTCAGAAGCCTCTCTAGTGCGGAGCCTCGTGAATCCACCACGGGGATCCCCAGGGTTATGAAAGAGGATATTATGCCACCCAGAACTCAGCTACAGAGCGAAGGAATCACATTTCCTCAGAAGCTTCCTGAGAGCTACCTAAGACATCATCTTTGTCAAGATTGAACTTCCCACGGTGAGAGGTACACAGCTGGTGCTCAGAAAATGTTCATTTGAGTGGGAAAATCATGTGTGACAGCGTAGAGTCAAGGGTTGTTCCATAAGGTGGGATGGCAGCGGCAGAGGCGAGAAACTTTGGAGGGGTGGGAGTGTCAAGGGCCGGTGAGCCACGGGGAGGCGCTGTCGAGCAGGGTCAGGAGAGGGTCCAGGTGGGTAGGTGAGGCAGATGGGGAGAACAGATAGAGCAAAGGCCAGAGGCTGGCATTAGCCGGGTGTGAGGCCCCTAGCCTGGCAGGAGTGTAGGGTGTTGGAAATTAAGGGAGGATGAGGGCGGTAGACTCTGGAGGGCCTCAGGAAGGTCTGGCAACTGTATGGGGAAGCTGCTGGAAGGGCCAGGTTCCAATCTGAGGCCCCCACTGGTAACCAGGTGAGCAGGGAGCTGGCGCCCGCCGCCTTTGCCCTGCCTCCTTCCAGCCTCACTGGAGGCTCCCACCTTTGGTTTTCTTTCTCTTTTTGCTTCCACGTTTAACTTAGTGTACTCTCCTTCTATTTCACATGTCCCTGGGAGCTACCTTCTGACCTTTCTGGCCGTAGGTGGGGCATAAAGAAACATATTTGGGCAGTGCTTTATCATCGGCAAATGCTTTTCCCATGATCTCATGCCATCCTCACAATCACTGTGAGTGGTAATTATTATTTAACTTTTGATAGCTTTTCAAAAGAATTACGAAGTTAATATAAAATACACGCCAGGGGTGAAAAAATTCAAATACAGAAAAAAAATTTAAGAAAACTGAAAGTCCTAGTTCACACCTTCCACCCTCTCAATTTCCTGTCTGTTTCAGTTGTGACCGGTGGGAATAGTCTGGGGTGTGTCCTCTCAGACCTGCATTGCCCCAGACAGAAATCACTAGCAGGGGTGGCTGCTGAGCACTTGAAACAGAGCAGGTCCCAACTGCCATGTGCTGTGAGTGTAAAATACACACGGATTTCAAAGACTTAGTATGAAAACAGAATGTAAAATATTTCAGTAATTTTATATTGATTTCCTCTCAAAGTGATATTTTGAGTATATTGGGTTAGATACATAAAATATATTATTAAAATTAATTCCTCCTGTTTCTTTTGACC